AGGTTCCATGGTCTGACCATGGATTGCAAGTGCCAAAGCTGAGCCTCCTCAGAGGCTCAGAAAATGCAGTGGATAGCATACTCAGATGCACATGGAGGATTTGTCAGTTCATCAGAACCTGCAGAGGACACCTGGTATCACAACAGAGGATGAAGGACAGAACAAATCAATCAACAACCTCAGCCATGTGTTGGCAGTGAAAATCTGAGTGAACAGAGACTCGAAAGTGGACTGTGTCAAGCAGTGGATTCTGAATAGGTTTCATGGTGCTTGGAATAGCAAAATTGGCAGCATTTCAGAACTGTTGAATTATCAAAACCACTCAGGCAGGACCCTTGGAGCATACCCCACATTTGGAACCCGGGATGGGTGGGAGGCTGGGTGGGGCTTCTCCCTTTATCTCCTTATTTACCACAGATACAGAGGAAAAAAAGCAATTATGTGGAAACAATACTCTTACCTACTTTCCTGTAGCCCTTGACCCTTTTGGCCCTAATCAATTATGTAAAAATTGTCAAAACAAAGCAATTTCAAAAAAATTATTTCAATTCTCAGAGCAGTCTTAAATGTTTCATGAGTTTTATAATATTAAAAATTGCTAAATAGTTCATTTAATTTTTCTAATTAACACAAGAGAGTCAAATATCTGCATTAATAGTCACTGTGATTAGTGTGATTTGGATAATAATTAACTATGTGTACCCTCCAGTTTCAAGTGCTGGACTTCACTCAGAAAATTCTTCAACTCAGGAAAACTTCAGCTCATAAAATTCTGTTTAGGTTAACATCATCATATATGAAGGGAGATCCAAATAATTTTTAATTGGCTCCACTGACAATTTTCTACCAGACCCTGAGCAAGTACCTTTCTGTGTCTGGTCTCTGTTTCCCCATCAGTAAAATGGACAAAATAACATGGAGTGCACAGTTATCATAATATTCAAAGATGACATGTATGAATTACCAAAAAATGAATACTGCATTATTAATAACTAATACATGACTCCTACTGAAATTTGAATAAGCATTCTTACATATTAAAATTAGAGCAAATCTTTTCTCACAGGTTCCCAAACATTAGCTAATTATGTCCTTCCACCTTTATCATTTGAGTTTATTTTGATCCTCTTTTTAACGCCATCCAGGGAGCCCTAAAAAAGCACTAGAAAGTGTTATGAGATTTCCTCTTTTTAATTCTTAAAAATTTATATAACATGAACAAGTTTCATGTATTTTATGACACACATTTAGGGTCAGAGCAATACTTTCCATCCACATTCCTACTCACCCTCCATCATTCATTCCAACACAGATGTCCCTATCAAAACCCACCAACTATCTGACACACGTTTCTTTTTCTCTCTTAGGTATCTGGTTTCCTCTTTTCCAATGAGATTTTTCCTGACTTCATATAGCTTACATCATTCAAACTAAGTGTAGCAGAGAAGGTCATGATTCTTTTCAATGATTCTTACAAGAAGACAATTGAAAGTACAAACAGGACTAGAGTCTACTTTTATTAAGCTGACACTTCAGGAGGAAAGCTAAATTAACCTCAAAGTTTATTCATCTTTTCCATTTCCCTTATTCCAGAGAAAAAGTGACACTCAGCCTGTCATGCTAAGCTCCATGTTAGTTAACCAAACACCTGCCAGGTGCACATCAATATTAATGCTTCCAAGATGAACAATCAGTATCTGAGCTGCTGTTAAAATATTTTAGAATTGTAATTGCTTGCCCCCTGCTCTTTTATCTAAAAACTAAATTGATTTTATTGACAAAACTTCATTTTATGATATATTTGAGATTTGTGTTTAGTGTTAGCAGAAGCCTAGCTAAGAAAATTATAGGGTCTATGTACAGATGTAGTGATCCTATTTAGTTACTCAACTAGCTTCTAATTATGTAATTGAAACTATTCTGTAAAACTGTTTCCAGCTCCATTCTGTAGTTGATAGCTGAATGTTTCTTCTATCAGAAAGAATAACTCAAAAATTTTCAAGATCATAAGTACTTCTAATAATATATAATTCTAAGGTGATGTTCTATCTTAACTGTATATCCAGACATAAAAGTAAAAAAAAAAAATAATGTGACAATGGTCAAGAACAAACAAAAAATCAAGAAATCTGACTTCCCAGAAATAAAAGGCAGTATAAAAAATATTTGTGAACCTTCTTTAGACAAAACTGGAAAGAAAGAAAGCTCTATATCATTTGCTATTAATAATACATTAAGGATAAAGACTATAAAAGCTTTGCAAATTGCTTGAATTTATAGTTACAATTTCCATAATATTTGTTCATGATTATTATTGGAATTACTATCAGCATCTTGTCGTGATCAGTTTGAGATCCTTGAAAAGAAGAGCACTTTGTGTTGGTTTATGCTGTCTGATGACACAGAGCCTATGACATGATAGTCAAGAGATTATGTTGATTTTTCTGTGAATACTACTGATCTAAGAGCCTGCAGATTGTGACATATCCAAAGAGAGAGAGAGAAAAGCTTTGTTCAGTTTTTAAGACTATACTTCTGACACTCAACGGAAGATATTGTTTGCAGGGAAATGGAACTACTCAGTAATGTTGTGCAAAGCAGTTCTTACCGGATAGAGATGCCACTTGCAATAGCAGCATACCACATGGGCATTGGTTTGTAACCTGGCTGCTCCATTTCTGATCCACTTCCCTTTCAAATTGCATGGGAAACAGTGGAAAATGGTCCAAGTCCTTGGGCTCCTGCATCCACATGGGAGACTAGCATAAATGTCTTGGCTTTGATTTTACCCTGTCCTACCTATTTCAGCAGGGAACCAGTTGATGCTCTGATCAAACAGAAAACACCTCCCTATCTATTGGACCTTTGGACATTTCAGAGGAGAAGACACAGGCAGGCTGAATAAATTCAAATCCTGAGTGAAAACTAGGCTCTACGTGTACCAGAAGCTGAGCCACTGTTATCTCACATCTTACAGGATAAACAAATTCAGATTCAAAATGATGGTTTGTCTATGTAACATCTCTTAGATAACTTTCTACATGTGCATATAATTAATCACAAAAAGGTAAATAGAGTGTTATTTTTTTTAATGAAAATCTTTTACACTGATTGCTGGAACAATAATTCTAGATAAATTGAATTCACTAAAATTTAATGTTAAAAATCATTTTGTTTGTTTCCTTGTTTCTTTACTTATATTTGAAATCTGGCTACCAGAAAATTGTGTTACATGTGTGACTGTCACTACATTTTTGCTTTAGATACTACTCTAGAACATACCATTTAACTTCAAATTCTCTTTCACCACATACAAGCTATCTGGTCTCAGGAAGCTTAACAAATTCCCATTTTGGTGAAATCAAAATAACAAAATTTCCTACCCCTCAAGGTGGTTTTGCTCTCAGAAAGTCAATCATGCACACTCTCCCCGAAGGGGGCCTGACCTTGAGCATGCTGGCATTTGTGACTATCCACAAAGACTCAGCTGAGAACTAAGGAATCAGAATCTGAAATAAACAGGTAAATGGACACCTGGGCAGTGAATATATTAGATATAGGGATTTCTGTTTATACATTAGAAGGAAATTTTCCTAAAAAATAAAACTGTGTCAGTGATACATAATTGTAATAATTAACTTGGAAATTTCTAGTTTTTAGCTTTTTGAAAGTCTAATTATGACAGTTTTCTTCCACTGATATGCATCAGTGAAAATAAAGTTGCTCTGTATGCATTACTCTGAGACACGCTGATAGTCTTACTGAAAATTAAGCAGAAAATAAGCATATTTAACTTTGTACTTCAGGAAGTGTTGCTTCAAGGCCCAAATAAAAAATTACAACATTTTACATATTTCAGTTAGTCATTGAAAGCAGACATGCAAGAAAGATAACAATACTAAATATTATATATTACATTCCTAATGAATAGCTGAAACTCATAAAAGGCCGAATGTGTTAACAGTTTAAAAGTAAAATATATAATATAAACATTTATGAATTAGCATACCACGCTTGCATAGTTCATGATAGACAAAATATTGAATCAGCTAAGATATTTATCATACAATGAATGGTAAACAAAATGTGCGTATATATATATGAACATTATCCAGCTATAAAAAGGTAATTCTGTTATTTGCAGCCAAATAGTTAAAATTAGAGTACATAGCATTGAATGAAACAAGCCAGATACATAAAGACTCCCCTTATATGGGGGAATAAAAAGCAAGTGAGAGGCCATGTACATATGTTTTGCTGAAAATGTGGAAAGACCAACTCAGCTGAACTGGAGATTCCTTTGGGCAATGCAGGAGTCGAGCTAAGAGCACACATAGGAGGCAGACTGAAACGCCACTATTTTCAGCAGGGATTTCTGCATATGTGCACTTTAGATTTTGAATGATGGTACTTTAACAGACTCTTAAAATTTTCTCTTTAACTCCTCTGAAATTTCAAGTGAACATTTTGCAAAAACAGTACTGACCTGTGTATTTACATCCCATGCCAACATAGTCTTTTTTTCTTGGTTTATTAAAAATTGAGTTTTCATTACATTCCATATTCCTTGAGAGAGTACATTGTTTCAGAATATCAGACATAAATAATATAAAAAAATTCTGGTTATTGCTATTCACTATTAAGACGGACAAGCTAACAAACATAATGTAAAAAATTGGTCATATTTATTTAGTGATTACTAGATGTTTTAAAGTTACATTAAAATACCAAAATATGACAGCATTCAGAAGTGATTTGAGATGAACAAAGATCTAATAATACAGAAACTTAAAAAGATATTGAAATTCCTTCTGGACAGGGATAAGGTATAACTAAAATTTTATTGCCTACATTGTTTAAAATCACTATTCTCCTAATTTTGAACAATGGAAATAAATTTTAGTTCTTAAGAAATTGCTTTGTTTAAATGCTACACGCCCACACTTGCGCTGTTCTATAACGTGTTTCTGTGTTTTGCTTGTTTGCTATTGGTTTTTCAGACACAGGTTAGTCCGAAAGAAGGATGGCAAGTGTATAGCTCGGCGCAGGACCCTGATGGGAGATGCATTTGTACAGTGGTTGCCCCAGAACAAAATCTGTGTTCCAGGGATGCCAAAAGCAGGCAGCTTCGCCAACTACTGGAAAAGGTAGGTGTCCTGCACAACTGATGTGCATTTTTATTGAAACGCATCAAGTTTTGGAAAGAAAATGTGGTACAAGTAATGGTTGGAAGAGTCATGAGTTTTGTACCCCTTCTCGAACAAGTATTTTTCTAATGCTTTTTTTCTTCAAAAGCGTCTGCTTGAACTTCCTGCAATATGTTGTTTCTCTGACTTTCTTCTCTTCCTAGTGCTGGTTTCTTAAGACTTGACTCTGCCACAAATGAGTGTCTTAATAACAGTCTTTAAGGAAAAAAAAAATGCAGCCTTATCCCCATGCCAGAGAGTCAGCAACGAATATCAGGATCAGACAAAGCTATTTGAGCTCATGCTTTCAGATTGAATTAACAACCTTGCAAGAAAGTTAAAATAATGCCATGCAAGATTGACAGATAATGCATAATTCTGACTTTATCATCATTTGCTAAGTTGCTCTTTTGAACATTAAGATATTCAATTTTCTTCAATACCAATCTCTCCATAATTTATTTAAACTGAATTCATAACAATCAAATGCAAAATATCTGTGACTTAGTCTCTTTTCCAGACAAAAGTTAGCTCACAAAAGGTTATTTATGTTTAGTTGGGGAGAGAGGTGGCCAATGAATGGTTCTTTCAATTATGCCCATTCAAACTTTCACTGTACTGGGCTCCGAATATAGCAGGACAGCTGGGTAGCCAGAATGATGCTGACAACAAAAGTTTTGAATTCTAAGCATCATCAGGGATAATAAGATAAATTAGGTAACATGCATTAAAAAGAACACTGTGCTTGCCAGTTCACTGTGTACAATACCATTTTCGTGATCATCCATACATTTATGGTGTGAATAGGAAATTTTTAACATAAAATTAGAAAGAAAAATGAGTGCATTTCATTAGTTAATGTAGACATTCTTAAATTTCAGAATTTCAAGTCAAGCTATAACTTTCTTTTAATCCTATAAGATAAAAATGTTTCCTCTCTGCATGTTTTATTTAAGGAAACCTTTTTTTTTAAATATTTAAACCTAATATTAATTTATTATGGTTACTTTACTCTGTGAAATAGGTTTTTTCATGTCATTCTCTTTAGCTAAGACATATACTACTTAAATATATAACTGTGAGCTTTTTTATTATTATTGATTACATTGCATTATGTGACACAGTTTTATAGGCACTGGGATTCCTCTCATCCCACCCCAATTTGCCCCTCGCCATGGTGGATTCCTCTACCTTGTTGCATTATCACAGTTCAAATTCAGTTGAGATTCTTTCATTGCAAGCATCTACCAAGCATAAAGTACATATTTTCTTCCTTCCCCCTTCTTTGACCTATTGCCTCCCATCATTCCTACTTCCTCATCACCTGACAAAATAGCATATGTCTTTTTCATTTCACTATTCTGATTAACATGTCTGTTAACTCTTTGAAATCAGAAACATGAATTATTATTTTGAGTTATAGGAAAATTTATTTTTGTAAAAATTCAAGTATATAGCCTTGTTATGCTTTGTTGCCAGTAAAATCTTTTAGCAAAAATATTTTTTCTTTTTAAAATCAATTTTTCACTTCTATTAATTATTTTCCCTCTAAGACTAAGAACACCTTGCATTAATCTCTCAATGCACAATTACCTTTCTTCTATATCTAGTATGGTGAAAACGTCCTTTTACATAATGTATGTGTTACCACTTTTTGGTAGAGTTCTGCATATACACATCATTATATAAATTCAAACATTTCTTCACAAACACTTGAAAATAATTCAAATAAATTTAAATGACAGGACACTGATAATTCACTGTGTAAGTTCAAAGTAAAGTACATTCCAGATATATACTAAAATTACATATTACTGGTAAATAATGCATGAAATTATGAACAGAACACTTATAAAAGGAGATCATGGCAGTATGTGTGGCCAGATCATATGATATGTAATTTTAGTGTTTAAAGGAAATTTTACAAATCATATTTTTAAAATTTGTTATAACCTAAACAACAATGACAAAACAGAAAATGTGTTAAAGTCATCTATGTTTGCTTTCTCAAATTACTTCTGTAGCAGTTTGATGCCAACAGGAAAGAATAAGTGCCTCATTTTCCAGCAGCTTGATGGAAGTGGGCATGGCTGGTTTTCTGCATTATTCCAGAGACATATTAACTAAGTATTCTGCTTCTACATTAAGACAGTTTCTCGAGGCTCGCCTTCACACCATGTTCATGCCATGAAGAGACAAACAATGATGTTCTCCAAGCAGGCCCTTTATTATTCATCAAATGGTTGATTTGGTCAAGAAAAACATTTATTTTGCTAAGAAAAATTTTAACTTTCAATCACTATTATATTTTTCCTCAATTCAACCATTCTAAAAGAGGTATTTCTCCTTAAAAGTTTACCTAAATGGAAACTAGTGTTTTTGGAGATAAAAAGCATTTCAATGTCACTCCAACAGAATTGGTGAGCTGTGCAAGATGAGTTTCATTTTCTCAGCATCAAGCCAGTGTTTTCAGAATTTCACTGATGGAGCACATAAGTGATTCTATCTCAAACAGTTTTGCCAAATATTTATGTAACTGAATATTAAATAATTATCTAATTAGTTTCACATTATTTCTAGTCCTAATATGATAAAATAGAAGTTGCTGGTGTAAGCTATTTTTTAATTAACCATATCACTTCTCAGTATACATGAAGATATCCTGACGTACAAAATTCAATATTTTCCAAAGAGAGACTTATGGAATAGTGTTTTGGTAACATCCTCACAGAGAAAAATAAGTTACAAAGACCCATATATGAAGCTTCACTATTTGGATTTTCAGAACACAATTTATTGTTAATAGCACTCCGAAACCTCACGGTAAAGAAATTTCCATTTAATTTTGTTAAACTCAAGGCTGTGCAAACATACTGAACCATGGAAATTCTATTTTCTCATGTAACCTCTATATTAATTACCAGTGAGAGTGAAAATTTAATTTTATTTATGTTCAGAAAGTCTTTAGACAGTTTATCTCTACAAAGAGCCAGGATAAATAAAGTTGAAAAGAATTCCCACTAAGAGAGGACAATGAACTTGCCACACTATGCAGAGAGCACAAAGCACAAGAACAGCCTGGAAGGTGAACTGCAGAACTTTAGGGACAGCAAGGTACACGTGAGGTCTCCTTCTAAGAGTAACTTTGGATATGAAATCGCCTGAATCATCTACACACTTGTGCTAAGCAGGTTTCCAAAGCCAGTAAGAAAGTAAACCATTTTCAAGATAGCCAAAAGGAAAAGGTACAGGAACCCAGTTTCAAATGGAAAAGCTGTGTCTGTAGCCACCACTCCTTAAATGTTATTCTTATATGTGGATCTACATTATGGAAGATCATGATCAAGTCTTAGCAAAATTTCTTGAAGTACATTTTCCTAAAACAAAGCAAAATTAAATTGAAAATGAACTGAATAGGATGAGGCATATGTAAAAATGACTATTTTATCTTTGTTTCAAATATCTTCCCTTGATCATCTCTTTCTAACTATATGGACTCTGTCTTGGCACACAAAATTCTTTGAATCCAGTGATGCCTGACTTCACAGAAAAATGCCTCAAAGAGACAAGAAATTTCTTTAACGCTAATGGCTTTCTCCATTCATGTTCCACCATAAACGAAGTTAGAAATTCGTTTTGAAAATTTTCGATTTATTTCTGATTGGATTGCCACACTTTCAATATTGGCACAGTAATTCTGTGCATCATTAAAGAATTTTAAATGGAGATTTCTAAATGAAAGACAGTAACTTGAGAAATGAAATATTTGACAGGCCATTGATGCTGTAGTCTACTCAGTGACAAGAGGCAGGGAGTCCTTCGTAAGATTTGATAACCTGAGCTATCATTCATTTGTATTGCAAACCCAAGGATATTTTACTCAATAAATATTTCTTGAGTGCCTAGCCTTCCCCTAGTTCTGTAGAAGACCTAAGAAATGAAAGAAAAATAAAGAGCATGCAGCTTTTAGATCTTCTTGTCCTCACTCCAAGCATACGATACACAGTTTGAACGTAGTCTGAACCATGCTATGTCAACCAAAGACAAGGTCTACATAGGGGAGGTCTATGGATCAGGACTGTCAGGGAAAAAAAAAAAGGTAAAATGGGCTTTATTTGAGAAGAAAAGTGGAAAATGAGACAGAGTTGGCACAGTATACTGCCTTTTCTGAATATGCTAGTCCTAAGGAGTATACCAAGCAGGAGCAGATGGCTGACTCGTAACCTTTGTGACTTCATTTCACAGCAGAACCCATCCCTCTTGATTGATACATTTTCAATGAAAACTACTTTGTACTATCACATATACATATGTGCTAATTAACAATAATCGGCATATCATATAAAATGTGCAGAACAAAGCAAAATTCACTTCGGATCCCACTGCTATTTTGTTCAATAATATCTCCTTACATTCCATTATGCAAATAAAATATCTAATTCTATGTAAATAGCTCTGTATGTATATGAGTGCATTTTCATTTAACCAGGATTTTCAGTTTTCAGTTCTCTTTATTTGAAATTCAGAGTTAGATAGAGAGAGAGATTTTCCATCTTCTCATTCATTTTCCAAATGGTTGCAGAAGCCAACCTGTGCCGCAGTGAAGGGAGAGATCAGGGACTCCATCTGGATCTTTGTCCTGAGTACTGGGCCCCAAAAACTTGGACCACCTTCAGTTGTTCTCCCAGCCACATCAACCAGAAGCTGGTTTGAAATAAGGTTGAATCTGGCACCTGTGTGAATGACCATCATTGCAAACAGTGCTACAATCTATTCGGCCACAACACAACCCTTTGGAATCTTACTCTACATTTGCTTTGTTCCCTAAAAACAATATCACAATTTAACACATAGCCTTTTAATGGTTTCATATCTTTACTGTGTTTTTGTTTATATGCTCTGTTTACTTTTACATGATATGCATATAGCTGGTTTAAAATACAAGAATCTTGGGCCCAGCACAATAGCGTGGTTAAAGTCCTTGCCTTGCATGTTCAGGGATCCCATATGGGTGCCAGTTCTAATCCCAGAAGCCCAGTTCCCAACCAGCTCCCTGCTTGTGGCCTGGGGAAGCGGTTGAGGATGGACCCTGCACCCATGTGGGACACCAGGAAGAGCTACTGGCTCTCAGCTTTGGATCAGTTCAGCACCGGCCGTTGCGATCACTTGGGGAGTGAATCATCAGAGGGAAGATTTTCCTCTCTGTCTCTCCTCTCTGAATATCCGCCTTTCCAATAAAAAATAAATAAATAAATCTTTAAAATAAAAGAATCTTGTTTTTCTAAACAATCTTCAGGTTAACTTTTCATGGCAAACCAATGATCCTTAAACATTGATGTACATTAGACTCATTTGGGAATATTGAGAAAAGACAAATTCTAATTCACTAGCTCAAGGTTGGATCCTGAAATTCATCATTCCTGACAGACTCTGAGTAAAGCCAAAGCTGTAACTCAGAAGATAATTCGTTGAGCAATGCCAAGTGTGAAGCCGTAGCTAATTTATTATATAGTTTGTTCACATTACATCTCTCAACTCACTTAGCAACTCCCCATTATTAGAGACTTTTCCTTTGGTTTTGGTGTTATACTACTACAGATACTGTAGCATTATTATTTTTTATTTATCTATTTAAGAGGCAGAGGGAGAGACAAATAGAAAGCTTCAATTTGCTGACTTTCTCTGCTAAAGCTGGCACTGGCTTAAAACAGGCCAGACCAGAACCAGGAGCAGGTTGCTCAACCCTTGTCTCACATATGAGTGGCAAGAGCCAAAAACCTTGAGTTATTTCTACTGTCACAACTGGAGTCAAAAATGAGAAGTAGCCATCAATTCCAGACACTCCAGTGTGAGTCATGGATATCTTAACCATTAAAACAGCACTTCTTCTCAATTTTACACTTTCTAGGCCATCTATTTCCTATTTCTAAATAGCCCAGAGCTCACTGAACCTGGAATGGTTCCATCAGCATAATAAGTTTTTACTGCTCATCTACCAAGTTCTTAATAGTTGCCATTTTGTAGGTCTCATAAAGAGAAGTATAATCCAATTTACAAGGTATCCAGCCCTTATATTGATCTTATATTGATCAACTCTGTCTCCCATTTGGGATTAATTTAGATCTAAAGGAAAAATAACAATACTGAAGTAAAAGAATTCTATTTGACACTTCACTATAATCTACAATTACTAAGCATTCCTAATACTTATGAAGTCTACATTAATGATCACAGAAACAAATTATTTCAGCATGTTTGGGTATAATAAGGCTCCACAACCTTATAATAAAAGTTCTATTATTCCATTGTTTTTCTATTATATGAAATGCATATTTATATTTAGTCATTTCTAATGGTAGAATGCCTATTTTTCTTATTTTTCCAGCAAAAGAATAATTTCCCTTGTTGAGTTCTTCAGTTTTCATCATGAAAATGTTTTCTTCTAAAAATGTGACACATGGAAGCCATTTAAGGATCTGTCACTTTCAGTTCTTTGTGTTAATGCCATTTTTTGTAACTTCACTCATAATTTCATATCATGATAAACAGATAATAATGTACAACTAATGCTTTTGTTTAACAGGTTCAGAACATGTCTCAATCTATTGAAGTGTTAAACTTGAGAACTCAGAGAGATTTTCAATATGTTCTAAAAATGGAAACCCAAATGAAAGGACTAAAGGCCAAATTTCGACAGATTGAAGATGACCGGAAGACACTAATGACCAAGCATTTTCAAGTAGGTTTGACTTCTAAAATCTGTCAACCCAAACAAGAATGCTGAATGTGAGGAATTGCCAGCGTGGCATTCTGCTGGAAGTAACTGTCCATTGACCCATGTCTGTAAGGCTAAAGACTCGCTGAGGACATCAATTATTCTTTCTGAAACTGAGCATTAGCTGGTAGGAGTGCATGAAAAATTTCTCTTAAACAACATTCCTCTATCATTAAGTTGAAATTTTCAGTAGATTCTTCATTATATCAGGAAAAGGGAAAATTAATTATCAAAGCTTTTCTTATTATTTTATTCCCTACAAATATAAGAGATGTAGAGGATACACATTATTACAAATAAAAATATTGACAAATGAATGAAAGGACAGTCATCCATAAGTTTATATAGATATACTTATTTTCAATTTTGTGATTTAGATAAAAATATGTAGGAACACTAAAGATAGTGGATTTAAGCATTTAAAAGTTTTATTAACTATATGACAATTACGGTTTTAAAAAATCTGAGTCTGATAATGTCATTTGAGCCTCCTATAAAACTAGCACATACTTTTTAAAATACAGTGGTCACTCACTTATTAGATTTTCCTTATTCATTGATAAATCAGCGTCTCTACCAATACTAAAGGAGTGGAAATTAATTCAGCAGCTGGCCAAGGGAAGAAGTGTTTTTTGTGCATATCAGTGACAGGTGGAAAAGTAGGCAGGGCCATATACAACAGAATCTCTACATACAACCTTTTTTATTTCTTGTTTTAAAGATGTACTTATTTATTGGAAAGGCGGGTACACAAAGAGGAGGAGAGAGAGAGGAAGATCTTCCTTCTGATGATTCACTCCCCAATGGTCTCAACGGCCAGAGCTGAGCCAATGTGAAGCCAGGAGTGAGAAGCCTCTTCCAGGTCCCCCACACAGGCACGGGGTGCCCCAAGGCCCTGGGATGTTCTCCACTGCCCTCTCAGGCCACAAGCAGGGAGATGCATGGGAAGCGGGGTTACTGGGAGTATAAGGCAAAGGTCCTAGCTGCCAGGCCACCGTGCCTGGCCCATACATAGCAGATTTTAATGTGACAAAATTCTTCATGGTTTTGAAATTCCATTGGTAGTAAACAGCCTGAGTATATACACGGGTCTTGCACTGCACAGTTTGTAGAGCTTATCCAAAAGATTACTAAGAGGGAAAAGAGCTCAGTCATTTAAAGCAATTACAAAACTGGCAAAGAAGTGAAGAATTATGAGGTTGAGGTTTCAGAGAGCAATAAGTAAAGGTGGAAATTTACAAAGTGAAGGCAAATCAGAGAAATGATTACAAGATACATTGCAATAAGAATCATTGTATAAAGAGAGGATGAAAACACTAGACTAATAGAAAAAGTGCAGAGGAATGGTAAAAGGATACAGATGGAGGGAAAAAATGTAAATTTGAGCTACTGTTTATTGAAAATACATAACCCAAGATAGTGTTGGGTACTTTGAAGAATACATAGCATGTAATCTCTATCCCATAAAAAGCAAAATAAAATGAAAATGATGGTGAATGAAGATGTGTTACTTAAAGTGATTAGTTTTATTTAAAGATGATTGGAAAATCACCAGATTTGCCCATCTTCTGTATTCAAGAAAACAGTGTTGGACTAGTGCCTGCACTCCAGTACTAAAATACAAAGAGTACAAAGAAAATAAAATGCTTTCATTAAATTTTAGGGTGCTGGGTTATAGCTACACGATTAGAAAATATCTGGACTATGGGTTAATGCAAATTCCATAAACTCATTTGGTTTGGCTCTGCCAAGGCAACCTCAGACAGTATGTGAAAGTCAATAAATCTGGAGAAAACTAATTTTTGTTGAGATTATTGTATGTCACATGAATAATATCAATATCCAAATGGTCTTTGGTACAAAGAAAGATTGCCCACCCCTGAATTGTGAACCAGAAGATGAAGCTATTCACCAAGTAGAAGATTATAAAATGGCACTTCAGGCATAGTAGTAACCATTTCCCGGCCATAGTCCCAGAAAGGAACAGGCACAGCATGAGAGGGGCTCCAGGTGTCTGGTTGCAGAGATTCATGTGGTGAGACTTCTGCAAAGCCAAGGGTCGGAGGATACTTGCTTGGAAGGGCTGGAGAAATACCAAAAAGTCTTTACACCACTGGGATATCTTGGGAAAGGACAGAAGACAAAGACATAAAAAAATTGAATTGCTAAAAAAATAGAAATTAATAACTCACCTAGTCTTTTGATTATCTAGTAACTTCCAGGCCATCAATAACAAAACTTGATTATCAGGTTCATTGGGCGACATAATGATTTGGATTTTCCTAATTCATATCATCTAAGAATATGCTGCTAAACCCTGTTAGCATGAATTGCAATAACCACAAATGTTTCTGAATAATTAGACAATCAAGGCAATATTCTATGCAATTTAAATATACAAAATTTCAATAAGTTAACAGAATGTTCACAGTATGAAAAATCACTGATTTCAGCAATTTTTGCACAAAATTTTTCCTTTATTTAATATAATTTTAACATTATATTAAATAAATTCTTTCTCACAATACTGTATTCATGCCTCTGTCACAGAAAAGTAAATGTATAGGTAAATAGGTTGAGTCATTTGTCCAGAATCAGAATATCATCTGGATCAAAAGTAGCATTAAAAATCAAAATGTCCAGTACCAGACTAATGCCTGATATTACCAATGCCAGAACACCTGTGACAAATATCAATAATATTTATTTATCCATGATTTCTCACTTTGAATCAGATTTTGCTTGGATTGCTGAGGCACCATATTTGAAAGCAAGAAATAAAACATACCAACATTGTGGCAATCGTGATAGCTTAACTGCCTAATCCTCTGCCTCCAAGTGCCAACATCGCATATGGGGCCTGGTTTGTGTCTTGGCTGCTCCACTTCCCATTCAGCTCCCTGCTTGTGGACTGGTAAATCAGCAGAGGATGGCTCAAAGCCTTGGGACTCTGCACCAATATGAGAGAATTAGAAGAAGCTTCTGCTCCCGGCCCCAAATTGGCTTAGTGATTGGGGAGTGAACCAGTTGGTGAACCATCTTTCTTTCAGCATCTCCTTCTCTCTGCAAACCTGGCTTTCCAATAAAAATAGATAAATCTTAAAAAAAAAAAGAATGCCAAAGTAAGTTGACATGGAAGTTGACACTGAAAAATATATTTTTAAAATCCTCTAATGTGCAGCTTTTATATTATCAAAAAATAAAAAGGTTATGTCTTCACCCTTTCAAATTGAATGCTTATGGTAGCTGTCATGTTCACATATGAAGTTAGGAGAAGTTAAAATTTGAGATTCTGATAGTAAACAAAAAACTATGCTGTTCCACTTTAATCTTTTCAGTATTTGATTTGTGAGTTTCTTGGACATGTCACTCTACTCTGATAAGTTCCAGAGCTTCAAAATTCATTTATTGCTGAAAGTCTCATAATGAATTTTGACAGAAAAAAGAAAGTACAAGTTCCTATTTTGATCAGGGAGAGCCACTAAATCTGTGACATTATGTTATCTCTTTTATATGACCAAAGTAGAATGTAAATTCTTTCATTTTAATAGATGTTATAGTACGGAGCAAGTGGTACCAACAGAACTCTCATTAAAATTCTAATGAAACGATTATATCTCCCTTTAGGGATACCACAAGATGATCACACTATTGTTTGTTTAAAATGAGCAATAAAATGAGCAAAACTCTGCAATTCTTCCTTTCAAACACTAACGTATCAATCTTTATCTTTTCCCTCCCATTCAATATGCTGCATATGCACACACGTTTAAAGATACCAACATTAAAAAATCAAGTAGAAATTTTGCCACAAAAAACTCAAGCCCACAAACAATGCAGCAGTGCTCCTGCTACTGTCATGCATCTATTGTGAAAGTATCTTCCAAAGGTCATATTCAAATGCAATTTTGAGCCCCTCAAGTTAGTTAGTACATAGCATGGTTTCTGAGGACAACCATAGATGATTTTGAAATGATCGTAAGAGTTACAACAATTTCCATGATTGAAGTCACATATAATAAATTGTCAATTTACTAAAACTCCTAAAATAATCTCATTGAGGGCCCAGCTCAATGTCTAGTGGCTAAAATCTTCGCCTTACAAGTATTGGGGTCCCATAAGGGCACCTGTTGTGTTCCAGCTGCTCCACATCCCGTCTAGCTCCCTGCTTGTGGCCTGGGAAAGCAACAGAGGATGGTCCAAAGCCTTGGGACCCATGCACCCACATGGGAGACTCAGAAGAAGCTCTTAGCTTCTGGCTTTGGATTGGCACAGCTCCGGCTGTTGCAGCCACTTGTGGAATGAACCAGTGGATGGAAAATCTCTGTCTCTCCTTCCTCTGTAAAATTAAATTTCCAATAAAAATACATTAATCTTAAAAAAGAAATATTCGTATGCATTACTCTCACAAAATTGGCAGGAACAAACTAACAGTGAAACATCTTGGAACTGTAGGTGCCGCTGTAGATTTGGTCCAGTGTCGAGAAAAGTAGGAATAAAAATGACCCTGTTTAGAAAACAAATGAACTCTTCGCTATGAAAAGTCAGTATTTCATGGAACTTTGTGCAAGCTGTTTATCTGTTCCATGTACTATGTATCATGGTTTCTTCATGAGACAGGACTCTAACTGGGTAAGCGGTTTTGCTCTCCATCAACATCTCTGAATTATCCATGCTAAGCACAGTGGCTAAAAAAAGTGATAGATTACTTGAACTTAATAATATCAAATTTTTAGAGAAAAGTTGATGTAGAATCCAGTTTTTTTGTGTATAACCCAGTAATGTGGATATTAAGTAGGCAGAAAGGTAGAATCAGTGATATAATGTTAGAGTATTTGATGCTTTTCCAATAGTCTTTTTCAACCAAAATTCATAATTAAGAGATGGGGACTTTTAGTGTTTCTTAAATGGGTGACACATTATTCACTTTCTAAAATGTTGTCCAATAACCCAAATAATACACAAATCTGCATTTGCTGCTGTTTTTTTTTTCTAATTGGTGTAAAGATCTATTTGGTTGCTAGAATAACAAGCAACCATTTCAGGAGAGATTTAATTTTTTGAGATCTGTGACTTGAGTATTAATTATGACATGGACACTTATGTTTTCATAAAATGCCAGATTTAAAGTAAAAGTAAATATAAAAATTCGAAAATTTTAAATAATTGTCTTCAAATATCATAATTTAAAAATATGTAGCTGCCTGATCTATTTTTAAAAACTCACAGGAGAAATATCATCTGCTTTCCAGGAGTTAAAAGAGAAAATGGATGAGCTCCTACCTTTGATCCCTGTGCTAGAACAGTACAAAACCGATGCCAAACTAATCACTCAGTTCAAGGAAGAAATCCGCAATCTGTCTGCTGTGCTCACTGGGATTCAGGAGGAAATCGGTGCCTATGACTATGAGGAACTCCATCAAAGAGTGCTCAGTTTGGAAACCAGACTCCGTGACTGCATGAAAAAGCTCAGTGAGTAACACAATTTATTCTGTCAATGTTAGCTTTTAAAGTAGTTACATTGACAACTGCATGCTATGTTTTGCAGATAGTCATAAATACCCAAATATACGGAAACCACTGTCTTTCCTCTAATCAAGTCTCACCATGACTTGATATGTCTTGATTTATAAGTTCTTGATTTTCAGAGTACTGTGTTACCATTTAGTGGCTTGCAATACCTGGTCTAGCAAATACAACCTGTTCCACTGGATACACTCATGGAAATAAGTTTCTGTTTCTACTATGTAATGGTCAATCCTTGCTGAACAAAGACAAATAAAGCAATTTTTGGTACTGGAGAAAGTGTAAGTTACCCTGGAACGAAATGTGAGTCAGCAAGGACTAACACAAATGACAAACAAGAGTTGTGCTATCCATATTGGTATCGACTGTACTGATCTACTCAGAAACAAAAGAAGCATCTAGTTGGATAGTTATCCTCCATTCCAAACCAGATAAAGTGTTTGGAATGGAATATGGACAATTTCTTGTCTCCTGAAATGTGTGATCCAATTGGGTACAAGTTTTCTAACTTGTATATTGCATTCATTAGTTAATTATTCAATTAAAGTTCTCACGGGACTATCTCTGAGCTAAATGCAGACTAAAGAGATACTCAAGAATTGAAGGAGTGGTTGCTAAATTCATTGCATAACAATCTTGTATTTCTTGACAGAAGATTTTTCTTTCAAGGTAAGGAAAATTTGTCGGGGATAAGAAATTATTGGGAAGAGAAGAAAACTTTTAAGAACTATTAATCAATTTATATTAAAAACTAGTAACTATAAATATGAAAGACATAATATGAATGACCAACTTGAACAATTAAAGACTATTTTAGATATATGACTCAGCTGATGAAAGGATAGCAAAAATGCACCATTTGATTTCAGTTATCTCAGTTTCAAAACAATGTGAGGAGACACCACATTGGAGCAGTGATGTAATAATAGTCATTCCAGGATTTCTAAGAGAATCCAACAAAATTAATTACAAGGAAATACATTAAACCCAAAGGCTAAATGCAGGCTCAGAAATCCTCAGCTCCTTATTGCTCATCAGATAATGTCTACCTGTGTTCACCTATAATTAATTTTTTTAACAATAGACTATGTAGATTTCATGATCCCAATTCTTATTCCTATCAAGCCAGTTTCCCACCTTGTTTACAAAGAGATTTTCAGAAGTGTACATCTGAAACTGTTTACCTCTGCTTAAAATTCCTGTGCATTCCTTGTGGGCTCACAAGTCACAAGTCACTCCCATCTTGAGTTGTCATTTCTCCCCTCACATCATACAAGCAGAAGTGTTTGTCCTTTACTCTTTTTCTTTTAAAGATTTATATATTTTTATTGGAAAGGCGGACATACAAAGAGGAGGCAAGACAAAGAGGAAGATCTTCCGTCCAATGATTCACTCCCCAAGTGACTGCAACAGATGCAGCTGAGTCAGCAGCCAATCTGAAGTCAGGAGCCAGGAGCTCTTCCGGGTCTCCCACGCAGGTGCAGGGTCCCAAGGGTGCGTTCAATGCGAGGACATTAACCACTAGGCTATCATGCCGGGCCTCTGTCCTTTACTCTCTTATTTTTGGCCTGTTGGATGATGTTTTTATTCCTCATCCAAAAATAGTACATATATTCTGGAGCCTTTCTCTAACACAAGTCACCTGCCACAAGTGGTAAACTCCTACTCAGTCTTCGGGTTCCAGTTTAACTGTTTGCCTTGCAGGAAAACTGCACTGTTCTCCCAAATCATCCTGTGTGCTGCTGCTAGGCATTCCCAAATCCTAACGTCTCAATGAGGAACAGAAAATTAACTGTTGGGCCCAGCACAGAAGCCTAATGGCTGAAGTCCTTGCCTTACACATGCCAGAATCTCATATGGGTCAAAGTTCCAGTCCTGGCTGCTCCACTTTCATCCAGCTCCCTGCTTGTTGCCTGGGAAAGCAGTACAATATGTCTCAAAGCAGTATAGCATATCTCCCTGCACACATGTGGGAGACACACCCAGGTGAGCTTAACTTAGTGAACGGGACCAGCATTCGCTCAATTGTTGAAAAAGAAAGAAGCCAGAGTGTCATTCTCAATTCTTTCCTTGAATCATCACATGTCCTTTCTTCTAAATCTCTGGTCACTCAGTCCTATCTCTTCTCTACATTGCTTTATGTTTCTCAAGCAATGACATCCTAACCACTAGATTCAGTTGAAAACGTCCCCTATTCATCATATGAACATTTAGTGCAATGTTTCTCAGACACAATAAAATTATTGTTTATTGAATTATCTCCACAATGGAGTCCAAACACCTGTGCATGGATTTCTTCATAAAATAAATCCTGCCAAATTCCCTAGCACTCTTCTTTAAGGTTCTCACCATGCATTCATCATAAGCTGTTGCATTTTAATCCTTTCAAATTCTCAAATGTGCATGCTTTCCACTTCCTGGATGAAGAGCTTGTTTTCCCTTCCATGGAAAATCTTCCGTACCAAATGGACTTACTCTAATAGACATCAAGTCATTTTCAGGCCCTGATGGCTCATCGATCTTGTTTCAATTCTTACTGCATGGTCTCCTAAAACACTTATTCCAGGTCTGTAACTATACTTAGCCACTTTAAAAAATACAACATATTTTTAAACATGATTTCATTTTCGAAAATTTCCCCTGCAGAGTGTTTAGGAGAAAATTTCATTTAATAAAATAAAAAAGATCATAATAGCTTTAAAAATATATTAGCACGTATTAAATATGATACATAGCTATAAAAGTATGGTTTTTAGTTTGCTTTGTTTTTTGTCACCATCCATTCTTCCTTCCTGAGTAATTCAATATCTTATCCCAAAACACCTCACATTCTGTTCTGCTTACCATTGAAATAAAGGGACACAATTGATTTTGTGACAAATCCAGTAAAGCCACCACCTGTGATTCTAGCATTCCTAAATGGCAATGGCTTGTACATGTCTGCTCCATGTAGAATCTAGCTCCCATGATAATGGCCTGGGAAAACCGCTGCAAGATATGCCCAGTGCCTGGTCTCCTGCCGCCAGCACTGGAGACCCAGAAGGAGCTCCTGGTTCTGGTCAGTTCTATCACTTTCTATACCATGACCATTGCTGTTATATAGGGATGGCTAGTGAACAAGCTCTCTTTCTTTCATTCTGACTCCCTCCCTTCCTCACTAACACACATTCTCAATCTCTCTCTCTCACTTTAAAAAAATAAATAAATCTTGAGAGAAGAAGAAAGAGAGAGTCTACTGAAAGCAGAAATTAGAGAGATGTTGAGCACTGTGCCTGGGGCAGAGGCGAGTGGGATTTAACTAAGAAATGTAATAGGAGCTGACACTTTGACACAATGAATGCCAGATTCCCATATTTGGAGAGTTGATACAAGTTCCAGCTATTCTGCTCCCTATACATATTTAGCTGCTGTAACTAAGAAGACAACGGGAAATAACCCCAAAACCAGGTCTCAGGTGGTAACAAATAACATGCAGGTGCAACCAGGATCACATTTGTAATTCCTAGCGACAGAATGAACCAGAGCTGATTCTTGCAACTTCTGGACAAGTGAACAAGAAGAATGAAAATCCTTTCCATCTCTTCTTCTGTTAACCAAAATGACATGCATTGCCTAATCTTATCCCTACCTCTCTCAGCTGTATAACTGAATGCAAATGATTTTTAAAATAATATCCAGAAATCTTATCACCAAGTGTGTAATAGAGGCCACTTTACTTTAGATATCTTAACAACTGTACTATTTCTTAAGGCTACTGAATTTTCCAGTGGCGTTAAGCAGAAAGAAATGACATTTTATACATAATTATATTCATCATTACATTAGTTTACATATGTGGCCATGGTATTAGGATTCAAAGCTATTAAGAAGCCCTTAGTCAGATATTGCAAGACACAATTACATATCAAAGAAATGAACAGCAGACGAGACAAACGGTTTCTCTGCTTTGATGATAGAAAAAAGAAATCTGATCATGCTGATGAATCTGAAATGATCATTTTCCTGAGCTATATATTGATAAATACGGATTATGCCTGACCATAAATAATTTAATGGTTAAAAGTCATCAGCAAAATAAAATGGTCATTCTCCTCTGTTACCATTTTATTTTCTGAAGTTTTAGAATGTACACAGAAATCATACTGTAAATAGTGATACTTTTTCATGTCTCATGGCATGCAGCAGAGCAAAACGGGAGAAAATCAATGAAGTGAAACTTCTGACGCCCTTCTATGCCATCCACTTTTGCAGGAACATTTTTATTCTGGGAATTTTGGGTACTTTAGGAAATTATTGCTTCTATCTGTTTATAGTTTTCCTCATTTCTATGGGCAGGACTGAGCTGAAAAAGATAACGATATATTTGAACAAAAGCTGGTTTGGGGGAATCACAAAAACAAAAATTGTTTCTGTAACTCATTTTGTTTCTCTTTTATATATCCTTTGCTATTATCTGTGCTGAATTAACCTTATGTCTCTAAAATTATAATGGAGAAAAACAGCTTTACAAATCTCTGCATAAATCTTTAATTTTGATAATATTGTCTGAAAATATCAATTTTAAAACAGGGAGACAAGAACCATTTTTAAGGGTAAGTTATTTTTGGAAGGGATAAAGACTGGTGAATTCTTTCTGATTATTACATCTGGGAATAATACTATATGATGTTGATGATTGTTATGATCATACATATTAAGAGAAAATGTCAGACGTTACGGGATCAAGTCCCATCACCTCTCTTCATCCTGGTACCAGCCTCCTGATGGCACACAGGGGAAGCAGTGAATTATGGCCTTATATTTGGATCACTGGCACATATAGGGGAGGTCCATAAGGAGTTGCTGGCTTCTGGCTCTAGCCTGGCCCTTCTCTGCCTCTTGTGAGCATTTAGGTAGTGAGCCAGCAAATGGGATACATCTCTCTGTCTCATTCTCTGTGCCTCGCA